GCCTTTCTCGTGGGAGACGTAATAAAGCCTTACATTATAGTTCGTTTGAATGAAACATTGAAATTTGTCTGCATTTTTCGACGCCAGACTGTTTCAAAAATTATAAATCTGCACCAGATAAAAGAGCCGGCAATTCTCCTGTGGAAATTAGTGGAAAAATACAAAGGCCTTTTCGGCGTTGACTGGGTCCCTGGGTCACCAATCTCATGTTGTCATCAATTTAAGGAGAGGAGCATGGATGTCAGATGGGCGGAGACATTTAAGAAGAGGATTGATGTTTTATACAAATGGATTATGCGATGCTCTAATGACAAATATGAATCATTGTTAAATGAGGCGTTAAGACTTAAGCATACAGGATAAAGCCATAGTGCTTAGAACGTTTCTGACCGACAAGAAAGCCATTCATTTTATCATTTTATACCCACAACACTACAGTAAAGACTTTCTCTTTTCGACACTGTGAAATTTTTTTTTGTTTTATGCACAGTATTTTAACCAAGTAAAATCATATTTATTAAAGTTACTGTTCATACACGAGTTGTTGAACACACTACATAACTTCATCCAGCTCCTTTCAGTCATAATTCAAGACAAATAAAAGCCAAAATATAGAGAATATAGCACATCTTTTTCTGTAATATTCTTGTGTAATCAGTAATCATGAAAATGATGTATGGGTGCATAGGGAATACATTTCGTTATGAATTATTCTTAATATAAATTTCTGAATTATCTTGTCAAAATCAGTTTTTTCAGGGTTTTTTTTTCTCCCCAAAAATGAACGAATTTCACAATGTTGAAAACGAAAAGTCTTTATTGTAGTGTTCCACAAGAGTCCGGGTATGATGGCTTTGATTCATCTTTAAAAAAACATCTATAGATATATACTTTTTTGAGAAAATTTATCAGGACTGATCAATAATTCTGCACTATATTTTGTAATGAAAAAAGGGGCAATGCTCCTAGTTAGCTGGGGTACATTTAACACAACATTTATTGTATGTAAAGTCTAGCAATGAAGAATTCTGATTGGTCGAAAAGCACTTTAAAAATAGTCTGTATGTTAGCATTTTATTTATTATCTTGCAAACATTTATCCCTTGCACATTTCATCAGGCATACATACTTTTGCCTGAAAGCTCATTGATTGGTGGTAACACATCCAAGACACATCTATGTCTCTAAATGCGTTTGCTATACACTTGGTAAATAAAACTTATTGGACTTGCGAACTGGTAGCAAAATGGTTCGACCCAGGTAGCTATGGGAATTGTAAAGAAGAGTGTAGATTCAAGTTCAGGAATGGAAGAATAAACCGCATATGGACTGCAACAGATGGCTTTATTGAACAAAACGAACTAACACACTAAACAAACTAAAGAAGAGACGTTTCGTCTCCTATTTATATTCTCAAAGTAAATATTGGTCTTGTTCATGAATGGTTACAATGAATATGGCCTTGGACATGATTGGTGAAAAGATAAAGGAGCTGATTGGTTGAAATTAAAACAATCTCAATGGCTCGCTAAATCTCAGTCAGAATCCTAAATTGTAATCAAGCTCAATTTCCGACAGTAGCAACACCGATTTGCTACTCCTGTTGCTAGTAGAAAACATGATCTCGTGCGGTGTTTGGATTCACTTTACAATACCTCATGACCAACATTGTATTCCGGATACCACAATGAACAGAATGTCCATCACATCGCCAGTTATATGTGGCCCCGAATTAGAATCCAGCATTTGTGTATGCAGGTTTCTTTTTAGCACATTATTATTTGGTCAGTATTCCATCGTTTACATCACGCAATTTATATAAAACTCAAATGTGACATTTCTTGTACATAAAGTCCTGCAATTATGATTGGTCGAGAATGACTAGATTCGTTTTAATTATTAAACATTCTTCCCACGTGTCTTGAACATTGAATGTATCGCAAGCACTGTACAGTGTATTCTATTACCGGTACATTGTGACATGTTACTTTATTACATGCGCCAGAATGCAGACTTTTCTCAAAATGTTGTACGTCACCTAATCACCCTAGTGTATTGATATGTAAAAAGTAGAGCATTTGGTGTAGGTTAAAAATGAATAAACTATATGACAACTGTGAAAGCTTTTTGGTTACTTTAGGGACGCCGTCAAAAGATCAATGTCGGATAAAAAACTTATTTGCTTTAGTTTGAAGATTTTTGAAGGGTTTTGACCTCAAAAAATTCCATCCGACAAAAAAAAAAGTCAAAAAAAATCTTGGAGTATTTGTAGTTAGTTTTGTTTTTTATCCAATCATGGACAAAAATAACAGAAAATGAAAAAAACAAACATCCAAGATGAGAAAATGGTTTGGTCCGAGTGTAAAGTCTTTTTACACCCACCCGACAACCAACTGCTATGCAATACTACTGTCCGATTATCAATTTGTATTTAATGGTGAATGTAGTCTGACGTCATGGTCAATATTTATCAATTAAGTTTCAGTGGGGGGTATGGTAGGGGGATTTGGGAAAAAACTAAAGGAATTAAGTTCTTTATCCTACATTGAACTGTTGATGTTGTCCCTTAATGTCTTGTGTGTTCCTGCATAAACACATGACAGTCTTCTTAACATAATATACAACAAGCCATGCATAGTACAGTCCCAGATAGTTATCGAATTTAAGATGTATAGTTATGTGCATCAATGTCCTATAATGTCCAATGTATATACCAAGTTTGAACAATAATTCATCTGTAAACGGCCAGGAAATGCTTGATTTTCATGATTTTTCAGTACAAAATTGGCTACCATTCGGCCATCTTGAATCAAATCATGAAACAAAGGTGCATATGTATAATATTATGTATCATGTATGCGTGAAGTTTGAATGTAATCGGTCCAAGCATGTCTAAGATACAGGTCCGAAAGGATGCATGCACACACAGACGCACATAGGTCAATCCATTAGTCTTTGTTTTCGGTCAGCGTCCTAACGGATACTAACAAACAAGTGGGAATACTCATAGTATGTTCCACTAAATAAACAAATTCAAACTATTTAGACTCGTTGAAATTTTAATTTATTTCAGTTGAATGACATACTTTAATTTAATAACTTTAAGGCATTGATAATACTATTCATCCAGGCTGCGAAGTTCTCACCTCACAGTATAAAAACACTATACAAATCAGAGAGCAATCATTCTCTTTAATTCGCCAGTTGTAGGATATATAGCATTATATATACAAGGGGCAGTTCTTAATATTTAAGTCAAGTTCTGCCTTTTGAATCAGTTTCAAGTGAAGAGATTGTTGACAAAAATTCCAAATGCTTTGGATAAACCAACAACCTTCCCTAAGTCATCCGTGGTGCAAAAGGTGGCATTCGGGTACACACTTGCTGTTTAGCTATTGCCATTCTTTTTTTTTCAAATTTATTTTTTCGCATATTTAAACTGCACACCCACTTGAAGAAGGATTCTCAGTTTGAGTATCACGGTCGGGGGTAGTTATGCAGTCACAACCTCTATAGGGTATGCATTATTTGCCCATCCTGTTCTATAGTGCTATTGGCCTGACTTTTGCATGCGAGTACCGAAGTGAACCATCCTTATAATTTACATCAACACACTTGGATATGATGAATCTAGGTATGAGAAATTACAAGTTCTGCGTCATTGAACTCAAGTCAGTCAATATTCAAACATGTTCAAACAAGTTAGCCTCTCGTATAACAAGAATGCCAGTGAAAACACAAGTTACTGCCTCACTTCCAACAAATCGACAGTGAAAACACAAGTTACTGCCTCACTTCCAACAAATCGACAGTGAAAACACTAGTTGCTGCCTCACTTACAACAAATCGACAGTGAAAACACTAGTTGCTGCCTCACTTACAACAAATCGACAGTGAAAACACTAGTTGCTGCCTCACTTCCAACAAATCGACAGTGAAAACACAAGTTGCTGCCTCACTTCCAACAAATCGACAGTGAAAACACAAGTTGCTGCCTCACTTCCAACAAATCGACAGTGAAAATACAAGTTGCTGCCTCACTTCCAACAAATCGACAGTGAGAACACAAGTTGCTGCTTCACTTCCAACAAATCGACAGTGAAAACACAAGTTGCAGCCTCACTTTCAACAAATCGACAGTGAAAATACAAGTTGCTGCCTCACTTCCAACAAATCGACAGTGAAAACACAAGTTGCTGCTTCACTTCCAACAAATCGACAGCGAAAACACAAGTTGCTGCTTCACTTCCAACAAATCGACAGTGAAAACACAAGTTGCTGCCTCACTTCCATCCAACAAATCGACAGTGAAAACACAAGTTGCTGCCTCACTTCCAACAAATCGACCAGAATGAGATATTCCTATTTTTCTAGCCAGCAAATAAAGCATGAGCAGATTTCTTAATCTGGTAGTGTAATGACACTAATTAGAATAAAAGTATCAACACATTTGCCCATAGTATATACATGTACATATTGATAAAATGGTATGAAACTGGTACATTCCGCAAATGTACTACAAAATAAATGCATCCATATGAAATAAATTACTGATACACGATTATGAAAATTGACACAATATTGTTCAATTATGTAATCAACATAAAAAACCTGTTTAATCGGTCTTTGTATACATATTTTAGATAATTACCTAGTCAGTAGAATTGTTAGCAATTTCACTGGTCAATTTATATGATCTACATTTAATAAATTTAGAACACTTTCTGGTAAGTGCTCATGTAAAAAATGGCTCATCAAAACCACTGATATCCATTATTCTCAAAGGCAGAAAAAGACATAAGGCAAATAACAAATGAGATAATCTGATGGAAATTGCCAAATTGCCTCCTAGACCTAGACCTATATCTAGTATCATTATAGTTGTTTTTTTAGTACCCATACATGACTAAAATAGACACAGAAATGTAAAATAACATAAAATAAACTTTTATACTGACTCAAAAAATGTAAAATATAAAAAACATCATATTATAAATAACTCAATCTTGAATCTTGAGTATACTTCTTTTTTCAAGATCTTCCATTTCTTTAATGACAGATGCAACATTGTATCGTAATTCATGGAATTTTGACACAGGTACCTGTGTAGTCAAAGTAAAATAAATAATAAAGTGTCAAATTAATACGCCGACTGGTTTCCAGAGAATCTTGCAGTAGTATAAAAAGGGCTATGCAATCCCATTTGAAATCACACAAATTGTATGACAATTTCTGAAAATTCTACTAAATGCAAACCAGTGAGAGTGAGAGATGTCTAGTGTTCATCTCAGAATGTTTTTTCTTGTTTCATTTCTTATTTGCATAAAACATGTTTGGAAAATGTGACAAACTTTTGATCTCTTACTTCTATCCCCAAAAACAAGTTTTTCTAAATGGCCATTGCCTACTGTTATGCTATTGGTCAAAACATGTTTGACTTGTGTGTCCATGGAACTTGCTGAGAAAGTGATCTTCATTGCATATCAACATGATTGTTGAATGATAATCTTATTTTGTAAATCGTTTCCTAAAGATTTGTATTCAATATTGCCTTGCTAGATAGTAACAGGTATAGTTGAAAAGTAATCCTCATGCATGGCACAAAAAGGGTCGTTGGGTATCCATGAAGTGACAGTAGCAGAGATGCAATGCTGGACATCAAAGAGTGCATACACTGTACTTACCTCAAAATTATGAATAGTACCATCACTCAAAGTCATTTCCATCATAACGCTTGGTTCTAATACTCTATTTAAAACGCTGTAATATTAAACCAGAAAATACAGATCATTACAACCAATGAGAACAGCGTAAATAGACACAAACAGATGTAACATTTCCTATGTTATGAGCATCGTCAGGTTTAAGGAAAATATCATGCACACAACAGAAATTATGCAAATCTGCCAAAAAATAATTATGTGACATCCATGTTAAGCCGAGGTTTAAGTTAATTAAGTACACCCCTAAAAATCACCTGCAATTAATAATTGAAAACATAATATTTGTGACCTACCTTGTTGATATTGCTACATCAACTCTCCACCTGAATCGTTGTAATGATGGCAATCTAGTTCTATTACTAATAGCTGCTTCATCTATAGCAATCCTCCTGAAAGTCAAATTATTATCAGCATGTGACACTGTTGACTACAATCTGTTAATCATTTTTGTATCCATTTTTCAGGGCATTTAGTGAGAAAGATCACTCGGCTCACCTATCACTTTTGTAAACCAAGACTCACATGAGATAATTATCACTCTCACAAATCAAGAACTAATTATCACTCACAAACTAAGACCCACAAGAGCTAATTATCATTCTTACAAATCAAAAGCTAATTATCACTCTTGCAAATCATGGCCGACAAGAGCTAATTATCATCCCCAAAAATCAAAAGCTAATTATCATCCCCAAAAAACAAGAGCTTATTATCACTCAGAAATCAAGACCCACAAGGGCTAATTATCACTCCTACAAATTAAAAATTATCACTCACAAACCAAGAACCACAAGAGATAATTATCACTCTCACAAATTAAGAACTAATTATCACTCCTACAAATCAAGAGCTAATTATCACTCACAAACCAAGAACCACAAGAGATAATTATTATCCCCAAAAAACAAAAGCTTATTATCACTCACAAATCAAGACCCACAAGGGCTAATTATCACTCCTACAAATTAAGAACTAATTATCACTCCTACAAATCAAGAGCTAATTATCACTCCTACAAATTAAGAACTAATTATCACTCCTACAAATCAAGAGCTAATTATCACTCCTACAAATCAAGAGCTAATTATCACTCACAAACCAAGAACCACAAGAGATAATTATCACTCTCACAAATTAAGAACTAATTATCACTCCTACAAATCAAGAGCTAATCATCACTCCTACAAATTAAGAACTAATTATCACTCCTACAAATCAAGAGCTAATTATCACTCCTACAAATCAAGAGCTAATTATCACTCACAAACCAAGAACCACAAGAGATAATTATCATCCCCAAAACACAAGAGATTATTATCACTCACAAATCAAGACCCACAAGGGCTAATTATCACTCCTACAAATTAAGAGCTAATTATCACTCACAAACCAAGAACCACAATAGATAATTATCACTCTCACAAATTAAGAACTAATTATCACTCCTACAAATCAAGAGCTAATTATCACTCACAAACCAAGAACCACAAGAGATAATTATTATCCCCAAAAAACAAGAGCTTATTATCACTCACAAATCAAGACCCACAAGGGCTAATTATCACTCCTACAAATTAAGAACTAATTATCACTCCTACAAATCAAGAGATAATTATCACTCCTACAAATTAAGAACTAATTATCACACCTACAAATCAAGAGCTAATTATCACTCCTACAAATCAAGAGATAATTATCACTCACAAACGAAGAACCACAAGAGATAATTATCACTCTCACAAATTAAGAACTAATTATCACTCCTACAAATTAAGAACTAATTATCACTCACAAACCAAGAACCACAAGAGATAATTATCATCCCCAAAAAACAAGAGCTTATTATTACTCACAAATCAAGACCCACAAGGGCTAATTATCACTCCTACAAATCAAGAGCTAATTATCACTCACAAACCAAGAACCACAAGAGATAATTATCACTCTCACAAATTAAGAACTAATTATCACTCCTACAAATCAAGAGCTAATCGTCACTCACAAACCAAGAACCACAAGAGATAATTATCATCCCCAAAAAACAAGAGCTTATTATCACTCACAAATCAAGACCCACAAGGGCTAATTATCACTCCTACAAATTAAGAACTAATTATCACTCCTACAAATCAAGGGCTAATTATCACTCCTACAAATCAAGAGCTAATCATCACTCACAAATCAAGAACCACAAGAGATAATTATCATCCCCAAAAAACAAGAGCTTATTATCACTCACAAATCAAGACCCACAAGGGCTAATTATCACTCCTACAAATTAAGAACTAATTATCACTCCTACAAATCAAGAG